ATGATGATTATAGTGATGGTGATGATGATAATGATTATAGTGATGGCAATGATGATGATGATTTTTGCAATAGTAATGTAATGATGATTATGACAATGATAATAATATCTGGTATGTATAATCATATTTATTTAGGCTGGAAAAGACTTCTTCCTTCCGACCAAAGACACAATCAATGAGTTATCTCAAAGCAGTGCTGGTGATATCAGGACTGCTATCAATGCTTTACAATTCTGTTGTCAGAGAGGCATTCAAGGTCTGTACTACCAGTTATATAAAACATGGATAGCTCCTAAATTAATTATAAAGAGTCTTTGTTTTTCTTCTCCAGATGTGAGTGAGATACCTTTATCTAAATCTGCAATAAAATCAGGTCATAAGCGCCAGAAAGAATCCAAAGCACAAGAAAAGAAAAGAAAAAAGCCCAAGATAAAGGAATCCCAGTCCAGAAAGACTACTGGTGGGTTATCATACGGTAGAGATGAGAATCAAGAGGAACATGAAACACTGGCTGCTATCGGAGGAAAGGATACAAGTATATTTTTGTTCAGAGCCTTAGGGAAAATCCTCTATTGCAAAAGTAAGAATCACATTGTATCGTATCTTTTTTATTTTTTCTGAAGACTGTTAAAAAAGGCTAACAATCTTGGTAAACTTTTGTGTACCAGGAGATGTTTCTGAATCTGACCAGGAACTTCTACCAAAACACTTGTCTCACTTAGCAAGAAATGTGCCACAGTTTTGTCCAGAGGTAGGTTTACTTTCTTAGCTGTGAGCTTTCCTAAGACTTCTTTTAGGATAGTCTCTCCCACAGCTATCTTAAGTGTCCTCATGCAATGATACTAACTGAATGGCTGCAGGGGGAGAATACATGTAGCAAGCCATCTAATTTTTCATACTCATAAGAAATCTGCTTCAAATAGTGACAATAAAAGTGACTTTATACAATTTATCTAGGATGTCATTGAACGAGCGCACTTGTCGAGTGAGATGCTTAATCTCTACCTTCACCAAAACTATTTGGATTTCTTTACTGATGTAGAAGACGTGGTGAGTAAAATAGTCAAAAAAAGAATCCAAAGGGAAACGGGCATTTAATCCCGTATACTTCTTGTGAACATAGATACTGTACATATTTAAACTGTAGACATTACTGATATCAATACCTTTGTTGGCAGGTACGTGCGAGTGAATATCTTAGTGATTCAAACATGATGTCAGTAGAATGGATGGTAAGAATCTCTCCATTAATCAATGTTGTTTTGGTTTTGCGAATCTACGTTTTCAACTTTAGGTATGATGATTTTTTCCCCTGGCCATTCAGAGTCTATATATCTAATAGACGCCATCATGGACTAAATTTACCCAGCGCACAAAAGTTTTTATTTTCGATGCAACACTTCAGCCAATTACAACTTGCGCACTGATTAATCCCAAATATTCTATAGGCGCAGTTCAGAGAAGGTATACTCATAATGCAAGCAATCTGTCTGATATTTCCAGTAATAGAGGCTTTGCACCATCACGTCATGACAGGAGGCACAACAATTGAGCCTTTTTTCCCTGGGAAAGGAAATTCAATGATGTCAATCAGACTCATTAGACCAGATTCAATTGTTCCTGCCTCCTGTCATGGCTGCCATCACATCATGGTGCAAAGCCTCTGTTGTATAAAATAACGATTACAAATGTTAATGGTTACATACTGATTGTTCATGACACAGCATCGTTCATCACTGATCCCCTACATGTCGTCTATTGCTACACGAGGCCTGATGTTTTCTAACACACATCGTGTTGGTTCGTCCTCGTCTGTTGGTGGTGCGTCGAAGGGTGGCTGGAGACCATTACACAAACCACAATGGTTTGAAGTCAACAAAAAGGTAACAATATATTCAGTGATCCATCCAAGGGCAGCTTTATTGGAAAATCAAGTGTTGGGTAGGGATACTGCACTAGCTTCGGCTCATCCCTGTGGGGTGTCGAGCTCTATTCCTGGACTCGGCATCACATGTGAGTAGAGTTGTTTGTTCTCCTTTGATTCGAGGGTTTTCTTCGCGTTCTATCTCCACTTTTCCTGCCTCTGCAAAACCCAACGTGCTAAATCCCAATAGTCCCTTTCACTGTTCCCTGCTCCATCTTAAAAGGTAGCCGTGCCTTTGCATCGAAGCCAGATGAACAGTAGGCTTCCATTGATAGAGAACAGATATGTCAAAGGATAGTGATGATTTTGTTTTATTTTCCTAGACTCGAGACAATAATCGAACTGCAAAAGATCTATTTCCAGGTATGGTCAGGGCGTTTGATTGTATTAATGACATCTTAAGTACTTTTTGTCAAATATATGTCGGCCATATTGCGTTCATGCGTTAATGGCTGATGTTGTCGTTCCTACTGCTGTTGTTGCTGCTACTGTTGTTGCAGTTCTAGTGTTGCTTATGTTGTTGTCGTTGTTGCTGCTGTTTTCGTCGTAGTCGTCTTACCATTGTGATGGTATCGTTGTCGTGGCTGTCGTTTAAAAGAGTGAGGTTTGGGAAAGCATCAACTGTTTTTTCCTTGTTTAACACTTGTATCGTTTCTCATGCTGTACTTTCTTCAGAACAAACGTGCCCCACAGCAGTTCTCCACACCCAAATCCTGCCTTACCTGGCTATAACGGATGTGACTCTAAAAACACCAGGTATGACCAACAACCTTGCTATGACCTGCTGGATCAGACTGACTCATTTTCTATTTTGTAATTAGTTTATGAGTGGATAGTATGACAGAAGAGAAGGGAGGAGAAAGGGCACGGGGAAGGGAAGTACATAGAAGATGATGACAAGGACCAAGGATGAGGAATGGAAAAGAAGAAGGTCTTGAGACCAGAATAAGGAGAATATTACGAGAAGGGAGAATCAAGCAAACGCATAGTAGTCATATGGTGGGGTCAATAATATATAACCCCCCCCCCCCCCCCCCCCCCCCCCCCCCCCCACCACCCCTCAACATGACCCTCCCTCCCCCGGTAAAAAAGCATGACTGACATAAANCATAGTAGTCATATGGTGGGGTCAATAATATATAAACCCCCCCCCCCCCCCCCTCCACAACTTCCAACAGCAGCGCTCAACATGACAGTCCCTCCCCCGGTAAAAAAGCATGACTGACATAAATCACGGTACCTTTTCACAGGTCAGATCTCGTTCGTGAATCAGATGGGGCGTTACCATAGAAACAAGTCAGCGTTCAGGTGAATATTAGCTTCAATATCCCCCCACACACAACATGCAAATAATTTTACCCTTGGGTTACCTGTGGTCTTGTATTAAATGATTATCATATGCCCTGTCTTCATCTCTAAACCCTGAAAAACACGGGGCTGACCTGATAGATCCCGACACTGACTAATAACACGCACACCGTTTGGAATAGGATTCATTTTTAACGTGAATGAAGAAACAAGCCCTGAACTACCCAGGTCAAAGACTGGGGATGAGACTTATTGATTATTGTATTCCCAGGTCATCCTCCAGCACCCTGGACGAGAAGGACTGTGGTAGTGATATAGAGGACGCCGAGCCCACAGACTCGCAAACAAGCGCGTCCAACACCGTGCAAGAGTCAAAAGACATGGAATTAGATGACGTCGAGATACTGAACTCTGAAGATATAGTCATCGAAGATTTCGACGATGAGTGGTAACCATGACAGCAATTTATTATGGAAACAAAGGAGCGCGACTCCAAACACAGAATAGGGTAAGATCTGAGGACCCAATCAGCAGTAGTAACCATACCAACGGTTGCCATAGAAATAAGTGTAATTTATTACGGATTATATTTGTAAAATACATATCGCCATGAAGCAGGGAAGTGTGACTAAAAGATACACATCCTGTCAGTTTGTTGTAAGGTATGAATCGTTATTACAAATAAAAAAGGTCAACACGATGATGACAGTGTTTGGGTTGCCTGTGGTGAACGACGATGGGATACACTTTACTTTAGTAAGCTATTGAACGCCACTGGGGAGATTTTGTCAGACGTTTGTTTGTATTGCAAACCCACACTGCTATTAATATTTCCGTGAAACCGACTCACGAAAAGAGAGTTGCTTACCGACAGAGTTCATGTGGGAACGCTTTATCAAGATTGGTTTCTTACGACCTTTGTTTCTTGTCAAGTAAGTAAACGTCAAGCATTGTCCTATAGTATTCTAACTAAAAGCTTAGTATTTGTATTATTTCTGAGGGTTGCTGACAGGATTGTGACTCGCATTATATTAAGGTTAAGGTTCCCAAGTTACCCTCTGGTTTTGCTTCGATTTATTTTCCTTAATTCTTTGGAAGAATAACGGAGAGAAAGAGACAAATTCTTTTGAAATTGGGGACTGAAGGTTTTGATATGATTGAAACGTGTTTCACTAATAATCACATAACTTATATTCTGGTATTGTTATATTATTTCCAGCAACACTCATACAAAACTCAATCAGCTTTTAAAAATATATCAGCATCTCAGTTTCAAGTGGCTTTTCATATCGAATCATTCGGTGCGACCTTAAAACACGGCAAGTGATCGCATTTGATCATCAGGTAAGATATGACGACGAATGGCTTTTTTCAATGCTATTTATTTCAAATCTGACCAATATTACTAAAAGCTTTTCTTCTATAATGATAATGTAGTTTATAATGGCAATTAAACAACCCCGACTTTTAAATGGCTTCCTCACCTAACCAATCACATTCAGACTCAAAATCGCATCGTCCAATCTCTGGGCTCAAAAGAGAAAACCATTTGAGTCGATAGTCTTCCTAGAAAGCTGTCTACCTAAAACTTTGATTCTTGAGTTTTTTTCGTTTATCATGAAGTGATCCACTTTTCAAGGACTCCTGAATGACTGTTAGCGTTGACCAGCTATGGACACATTAAGGAAAAAAGATATTAAAAAGGTTCTTAGATAATACGGTTGGACAATGGTTTTGTATCATAATTTAGTTTTGCCACAGGTTTGAAGTCAATTGTATATGAATGATTGAAATAAATAAAAGAGTGGTCATAAAAAGGACCAACAGGTTTAGCTCTTAGTACACGTTTGAACCCCCCCCCCCCCCCCCCCCC